TCTCAAATTTATAGAGAAGATATGCAAGTCATCATAAATTGTGTCAATAATATATATCAATCCAAATATACAACTTACTAAAAAAAAATAAGAGAATAGTAAGTAAACCAAGCAAACATCCATATAACATCGTAAAAAAAAAATATTACATTTAAAGCTAATATGCAACGCACTTTTAGAGTAAGCTGCCAAGACAAACACATATCCATTAAGGCTCTTTATAAATACAACAGAAATTTAAATTACTAATATATACAACCATTATAACATTCGAAAGAGGTATGGCCTTAAAAAACCTACTATGAAATTCATACAATTAAACCTAAGAAAGTGGATAGAGATGTTAATAATAAGTGTTCAAATGATAATAGAGTTGAGCAACGATAATTATCATTTATAATAGAGTTGAGCAGTGATTCTATGTTTGCAAAGGCTGCAACAAGAAAGTAGATAGAGATGTTAATAATAAGTGTCCAAATGATGAATGATGTAGAATCGTCGATGATGTAGTACCAATGTTAAGTGATATCCCTTCTTCATGAAATAATTATATTAAAATTAAATATTAATTTTGTAATAAGAAAATTGACAATGAAAATGTAATGTATTTAGTTCAGATCCTCATAGAAAATGACACAGACAGAGCAAATGTAGCATTATAACATAGCAGAAATTCTTATTGGATGCATGATAATCATATTTTTTACAATTTTATACCCTCATTATCTATTTTATATGAATAAATATATTACTAATAATTGTTTTTATCTTTTAATTGCAGGTTAATGAAGAATAAATCTCAAACTCTCATTTCTCAACAAAAACCCATTGATTAAATGAAGAAATGAAACAAAGAAGCACATTGGAAAATCAATTTCTAAATTATCCAAAAGCCCAGAATCAAGTCGTGTAGCCTGTAGAAGCTGGAGAAAATCAAAAATCTAATATAAAAAGAAATCATATTCAAAATGATTGGCCACAAAGAAACGACGATATCTCCTAATCTGGAAGGCGGAATTTAACATATAATATATGAAAATCGCCTATCTCGACGAGACGAAGCTATCCGTGAAATCAAAATTTAGAAATAGTGGGCATCGATGTCGGCATCGATGTGGGCATCGATGCTGGCATCGATACCTGCATCGATGCCAGATTACTGTAGCACGCGTCAATGGCTGATTTTGCTTGTCTTGGGGCTCAAGTTTGATCTAATGGCCCTCATTCACTGATGTTTACTATAAATAGGGATAGAGAGTGAGGGGTTAGAGGTGTGAAAATTTTTGTAACTCCTTTTGGAGAGGAAGATTACTCTTAATTGAGAAGGCCTTCCAAAATTATAACTTTTTGTTACAATTAATAATAATAATTTTTTCACCACTTTAAATTTTTCTCTTCTTCTCTTTGTTGGATGATGAAGATGAAGATAAAGATGGAGAATTATTTAAATGTTTGCATTTCTTTTCTTTTTCTCTTTTATTGCTTATTAGTTTAGATTTATTTCTATGCTTGTAGTTTAGATTTTATTTTCTTGTTAAATAGCCAAGAGGCTAGAACCCTCTTACCTTAGATTTATTTCATGCTTATAGAGTAGACTTATTTTCTTGCATTTAATGCTTGCAATTTTATTTTGTAATTAGATTTTGTAATTTATTTTGTAGTTAGATTTTAATTTCTTATACTATTCACCTTGAGGCTAGAACCCTCTTGGGTTTAGTTTTTCTTTTTGTTTATTTTTATTTTGTTTGATTAACCTTTAGGCTAGAACCCTCTAGGAAATCACCCTTTTCTAAGAAGTGGGTTCAATTTTAGATTACCCATATCTATAATTGAATCCATCATCTTTAATTTCTTACATTTTCTTTTATTCTAGAATTTTGTTCTTCATTTTTTATTTGTTTCTTGATTTTATTCATTTTTCCTTCTCACCTTATTGATCATACTCATTCTCTTTTACATCCACTCTCACTTACACTTTTCACCTACTTACACACCGCTTTCACTCTTTCAATCTTTTTACAATCATATTCACTCATCAATCTTATTTGTCACGCACACAACATAAGAACCAATTTTATATTTTCTCCTATAAAACACCTTCCTCGTACCAATTTTATATTTTCTCCTATAAAACACCTTCCTCGTGGGATCGATATCTTAAATACTATAACTTGATACGGTTGTGCACTTGCAACCTTTTCTTAAATACTATAACTTGATACGGTTGTGCACTTGCAACCTTTTTGGTACACGTTTATGCCGCATCAATGCACAATAGAAGAATTCATTGCAGAGAAAAAAGAGGTAGGTCCTAACCTTATTTAAACAATAAATTAAAAGTACAAAAATTTTATATATATGAAATTAGCATTTATTCTTATTAAAATAGATAGAAAAAACAAAGCCTGTATTGTCAGAAGTTTGTGTTGAACATAAGAAATATATTAACTTCTTTGTGAATTTAGATGAGAAGACAAAAGACGAATGAGCCCAATGAAAGATAACATGTACCAGTCTCATATCACAATTAATGAAGACAATGAAGACACTACTCTAGTATTGCTGAGGAAAAAGATAAAGATGAAGAATGACATGATCTCGACTCAATAAAAAATAAAATAGAAATAACAAAAGATAATGTTTTGTGAATTATAATAGAATAGTTTTATTTTTTAGCATAATTAGGAATCTTTAGAAAGAATTTTTATAAACTATTTTTCGTACTTCATATGCATATGTGGATGTTTTTATCATATAAAAGTGTACTAGAGTTAGCATTAATCTTCAGTTTATGATTTTTTTCATTAACTATTTTCTATCATTTTACCCCCACTTTAAATCAATTATCTTGGCTCGTTGGCTTTATTATCCATCTTCCTTTTATAATGTTATTTTTTCAAGTGTTTTCACTTTCATAACAAATATACTTCCTCAGGTTAAGCTCCGTTTCATGGATCCAAATGAAATAAAATTTTAAATTGGATTTAGATTATATTTATCTCCTAACAATTCAACTATCAATATAAAAAATTAAACTGGGTGTAGCATGTTCAAACAAACATCAAATAAATAAATAACCAATGTGTAATCGAGGAACAAATTTTAGTAAGAAAATAAACTAAAAATACTTAATCAAAGTTATCAAAGAGTATCTGAGGAACAAATGTTAGTAAGAAAATAAACCAAAAATATCTAATCACATGCATAAAAGCTAGTATTTATAATTACATGAGCTTTTAACTTCTCACTCATAAAGTGTGATGTGAGGGCATGTGTCTTTAATGCAAAAAAAAAGGTATTTATACAAATCATGTTCTGTCTTTGGGCACATTTATAAATAAAGGTTTCCTTTTGTATGACAAGTTAATGGAGGCCCATTAGATCAAAATAAATATCTTTAACAAGATTTCTCAAAATTTGAATCCTTAATCCACCATCCTACAATTAAGATACTCCTAACAAATCTCAAGCATCTCCAACAGCTTCTCCATTTTATTGGTATTCTCACTTTTGGAGAATTTTGGACTTTTTTTGGTCCAACAGATTCCTCATCCCATTCCCCAAAATAGGGATGGAGGAGAAAAAATAGAGAGTCTTCCCCAAATCTATAGCATTCTGCAAATTTTTACAGAGAGCTTTGTAATAAATGCAGGATTTGTAATAAATGCATGAATTTTTAGTTTTTGAGAGCTTTGTAATAAATGTAGGATTTATAACAAATGCAGGAATTTTTGGTTTTCGAGGGCTAGTAATAAATGCAGGATTTGTAATAAATACAGGAGAATATGACTTTTTAATATTGTAATAAATATAGGATTTTTCAAAATGGGGAAGCTATTGGAGTTGGAGCAAAAATAATTTGGAGAATATGACTTTTGCTTCCCCATTTTAGAGAATTTTTTGGGAAAACCGTTAGAGATGCTCTAATCATCTCACCATATCTCTCCATTTTTCTCTTACTCTCATGTATAATGATAAAAAGAGAGGCTGAAGTCTCTTTTGTTCACAAGAAAGAAAAAAAGGGGAAAGAGAGAGAGAGAGAGAGAGAGAGAGAGAGAGAGAGAAGGAAAATCACCTATTAGAGGAGAAAGTTTCAATTAGGACCATCTCTAGAGGATTGCTTTGAGGCAAGCGTTCTTTCAAAACTCTTTTTTTTAAAAAAAAGTTTTCCCTTGTTTTGATTCTATGCCATAGATTATCAAATGATGTAATTTAGGACACATGAGTAGGATCAAGTCTTATGATTATTCTTTAGATACTACACGGTCACATTCTTTTTTTGTTATTCACATTTAGAGATTTGTAACACTAGTAGAAAACAAGGCATTGGCGACCGGGAAACCGTCATCAATACCCCAAAATCCGTCACCAATACATATTAGTGACGAAAATGGATCCGTCGCCAATAAATCCGTCGCCGATAAGTATTGATGATGGGTTTCCCCGTCGCCAATACTTATTGGCGACGGACGACTATTGACGACGGATTTCTTTGGCGACGGGTGATTCCCGTCGCCAATAAACATTAGCGACGGATAAATCCGACGCGAATGTTTAAACATTAGCGGCGGATTGCCCCGTCGCCAATGCACATTGGAGACGGGGTAATCCGTCGCTAATGTTTAAAACATTGGCGACAGGTAAATCCTCATCGCTAATGTTTTAAACATTTGTGATGGATCACCCCGTCTCCAATGTGCATTGGCGATGGGTAAATCCGTCGCCAATGTATATATTTACGTAAAAAACTTTTAATTTTCTAGTAGCCTCCCATATGAGAATACACATATAACCTGTATCGACATCAATCCAATAATAATATTTAACAATATATCATAAAATCAACCATGATATACATTCACATTCCAAATGAATACTCATCCAAATCAACCATGATATACATTCACATTCCAAATGAATACTCATCCAATTTCATCCGTCAATCCACAATATCTAACAATACTCATCATATAATCATTTCCAAATGAATACTCATCCAATTTCATCCGTCAATCCACAATATCTAACAATACTCATCATATAATCACAATCACAATACATCCCGCATGCTCAAATAATATTCATTCATTACGCAATAAAATCACAAATATATTACATATAGGTAAAATTCAGGACAATCACTGAGGCGCTGCACAACATCCAAGTCGATTGTGCTCCACCACCATGAACTTCATGCTTGTCATACGCCAACTTAAAGATAGCTAAGTATATCGACTCGGGAAGAATCTCCTTCAACGACGGACAATCACTGAGGCGCTGCACAACATCCCAAGTCGATTGTGCACCTGTTCATGTCGATAAATTATCGTGTTTCGATAAGCTATGTTGATAATATGTGAGTAAATTGAGACAAGCTTACCCATTTTTCTTCTGATCCTGTAAGATTTTATCCATAATGGGTATTCCAAAAGCAAGAGTTTTCCTAGTCCCCGTTTTTGCCCGACCAATTATATCACGTCCCTGCATTGCTGGCTCGAGAACAGCTTTCTACACAATAAGCAAAAACCAAAAATCAATAGCATTCTTCTAATAAACATTAAGAGCTAATGCCATAACAGAGTTTCAGTTTTAAAAATGCATTACAAAACATTGAAGGTCAAAACGTTGGCCGACAATTCTCAAAACATGTAATATCAACAGGAACTATCTTTAATATTTTCAAGGGCTTTCCTGAAAATTTATTACAAATTAACTTTCTAATAGGCTTGATATAAGCATCTAACAAAGGAAAATGATATGCACTAAGTTGTAGAGGATGCAACAGACTGAAACTTTCCAAGGAAAATGATATGCAGTATGCATGAACTTTGCTAGTGTGAAGCCAATGGAGATTAATATGATACATACATACATACATACATACATATACACACACACGCACACACATGTATATATACATATACATGTATGTATGTATATATACATATATATACATGTATATATATACATAGATATACATGTATATATATACATACATATACATGTATATATATACATATATATACATGTATATATATATGTATACGTGTATATATAAGGACAATGATTACAGACACAAAGCAATTTTGGATATATTAGATATCCATTACACCCTAACTCCCGGCATGTTAAATATTATATTTGATACATTCGTGGTTAAAATTATTTTTTAAAATCTAAAAATTTTGAAGTCTTGACATTATCTTAGAAGAGAACAAAAAATGAAAACTCAAATGTAAATGATGTTAGGAAACTGTCTTCCTAGAGAAGTTTGCTTCGTATGAATTTGCAAAGTTTAGAGCAAAGATGTACATAGTCAATAAAATCAATTGATTATGTTCATCTAAATGTAGAGATCCAAGCATCATCACAATGAAGAATACTCCCAACTTTAAAGAAAAAGTTAACAAATGTCACCAAAAGCAATCATGGTCTGAAATCAATTCTTACCAACAAAATCTCGGTAAGCATTGCGGTCTGGAAAATTATCAAACTCAAAAAATAACTTCATTTTTATCTTTGCATAAATTAACTGCTTGGGTAAATTCAGCTGTTTACAAAAATTAAAGTAATGATTAGATATGGAAGCCAAGTTAGTCCATGGACTAAAGGCATGTGTCATTGATAGATAAAGGAAATTGAGTTGGGCATTAGCAAAGGGGCACAGATTGAAAACATAATAGGATTGAAAATAGTCCACTATAAATCCAGATATAAACTATAAAATATTCTAAAATCTTCATAGTGCAAAAATATGCATGATGAGTTTCTTGGCCAAAAAATAACTAGAAAATAACTATCTGAATTGCACAACTTGTTTAAGGGAGTGATAAACAAAGGTTAAAAAAAGATAAAATGGAAAAGAAGGGGAATGTGAGAATGCAAATTACCTGGCATCCAAAGCAAGTAGGTGGATCATGGTTGAATATCATCTCACCGCATAGCTGTTCACATACAAATCGATGAGCTGAATATCAAAGACCTGAATAACTTAAAACTTAGGCAGTTCAATTTGAAGCAGTGTAATTCTATAGCATATTCATCCAAAATTAAAATTTTGATTTTACATTATGCTAAATCTTTTTCTTTGTCAACTATTAACAGGAAAGCGAGTACCCAAATATGAAGTCATGAAGTTTAAACAGAAATGGTAACCTGGTGAAGCCAACTTGAAACCAGAGCTGTTGGCGCCGGTGGTTAAAACTGGAATAATACAGATATATAGCAGCTAATAACTGAAAGAAAGCTGAAGTACAGTAATTTATATTTTTTTCAACTCAGCTGCTGTACGTTTGTAAAACGCTGTGCTTAAAGCATTATTTGGCCTACTCTGGTGCAAGGATCCCAAGGCCAAATTGCTTCCAGGAACAGCAGTCCAGTACTCTGGTGTGCACCAACCCAGTACTGTCAAGATCTCCTCGATCTGTAAGGCAAAGATCTCATCGATCTATCAGGCAAAAGATCTCCTCGATCTCCTCAGGCAAAGATCTCCTCGATCTATAAGACCTTCTCGGTTTAGGCATTGTTCCTACTAGCACTAGCTATTCTACAATATATATCTGTATATATTGATTGTTGTTTTGGAATGAATTTTTCTTAAGGATTTGAGGTCTATTTATAGCGTTTGGAAAAATACTATGCACTAATAAAAAAATATTAGTTACTATTCATGTGGGACTCACGTCCTAAAAATTCTTCGGTGGGGCCCACCACATTTTCCCATTTTCAAAAAAGGTGGCTTCTTTGTCAAAGAAGTTAGGCAGAGAAAAAAAATTTTGAGGGCTGCTTAAAACACGAGGGCGGCTGTCACAAAAAAAATCCAACAATCCCCAACATTTAAAAAAAAAATCGTGTAACAGTACCGTCGTTTCAATCGTTGTGCATAAGGAAAATGTCGCAAGGACTTGAATCCCCTTTAGACCAACTGGATAAAAGATAGATGCATGGTGTCGCAGAGACTTGAACCAGCACATGTCTAAAAATCCAGCGATCACACAAGATCAAACTTATTTGTGGTAGTTTTTACTTTGGACCACACTTGCCTTTGTCTTTACCTTTGCCTTTGTCTTTGCACATTTATGGCCCTATGCATGTCCTGGTTTCTGTTAGGGCTCTAGGTATCTTTCCACAAGATACCATAGAAGACGGCCAAATCTCCACCCATGCATAGGTGAGTTTTTTAGGTATGTTTCCTATCAAACACCCCGCATCCGAAATGATTTGAACTCATTAAGGCTTAATAGTCATCCTCTCTCATGATAGGATTCTAGGTGAGTCCTTTAGGTGTGTTTCCTATCTAACACCCCGCATCCGAAATGCTTTGGACTCATTAAGGCTTAATAGCCATCCCCTTTACATGATAGGATTCTAGGTGAAAAGATCAAAGTTTTACTCGGGTAGTTCAGCCAGGTAAGGATAGTATTAGAGGTTGATCAAAGATCAATTAAGTACCTCGTTCCTTGCGGAGCGCGTTACGCAACCCCCAAACTTTACCTTAGACACCGACTAATCCAAGAAAACTTGAACTCTGTCACTTGTAAATCTTACTTGACTTTTGAACCATTTATCTTGTCATTAGTAGCATAAGCTTTGAACTAATAACTAGATGTAAATGGTAAGTATTTGTAAGACTCACCAAACTTTACAAATCTTTCTTGACTTTTGAACCAATTATTTTATTATTAGTAGTATAAGCTTTGAACTAATAACTTAATAAACATGGTAAGTATTTGTAAGACTTACAAAACTTTAAGACTCATTCCAGCAGACGTCCTTTCGACTATGTCCTTTTTCAGACCCTTAGTCAAAGGATCAGCCACATTCTCTGAAGATCGGATGTCAATCACAGAGATGACTCCTTGACAAATGAGCTCTCTCAAATAGCCATACTTCAGACGAATGGTCCGTTTCTTTCCATTGAACAACGAGTTCGCTGCCACAGCACTCGTCGCTTGATTATCACAATAGATAGTAATTGCGCATTGCAATTTCGTCAATGGAAGGTCTCGGAGAATACAACTGAGCCACTCAGCTTCATCTCCTGCAACACAAAGTGCGAAGAATTCAGATTCCATCGATGACTGTTCAATCATGGTCTGCTTCTTAGACTTCCACGAGACGGCAGCTCCACCCATGGTGAAGACAAAACCTCCAGTAGATCCGCACTCATCTGGTTCTGAGCACCAGTTCGCATCTGAATAACCTTCGATTACACCCGGATATCCAGTGTAGAATAAGCCCAGACCTATAGTTCCTTTTAAGTATCTCATCAATCTTTGGATGGCATCCCAATGAAGCTTTTCAGGATTACTTGTGAACCTACTAAGCATTCCTACAGCGAATACTATATCTGGCCTTGTGCAGCTCATCGCGTACATAAGACTCCCAATGATCTTTGCGTACCTTAGCTGCTCTACTGGTCTTCCAGTGTTTGGTCGAAGCTTCTTGTTGTAATCATACGGTACTAACAGTTCTGGCAGGTCGTAGTAGCCATACTTCCTTAGCATGTTCTCGACATAATGAGATTGAGACAATCCAATACCCTCTTTAGAGTATATAATTTTGATTCCGAGAATCACGTCCGCAGTTCCAAGGTCCTTCATGTTGAACTGTGCCGAGAGAAATTTCTTGGTAGTTGTTACTATCTCCAAATCACTCCCGATGATGAGCATATCATCCACATAGAGGCAGATGACCACCACCTTTTCTTCAGCGACCTTGATGTATAGGCACTTGTCAGATTCACTGACTTGATACCCAATGTATAGGCACTTGTCAGATTCACTGACTTGATACCCATTGTTGCGAACAACCCCATCAAATTTCTCATGCCAGAGTTTTGGTGGATTCACTGACTTGATACCCATTGTTGCGAACAACCCCATCAAATTTCTCATGCCAGAGTTTTGGTGCCAGCTTAAGTCCATAAAATGACTTAACAAGTTTACAAACCTTACCAGCTGGAGCATTAAGTCCTTCTGGTTTCTCCATATAGATCTCTTCTGTGAGATCTCCATTGAGAAAGGCAGTCTTCACATCCATCTGATGTATGACGAACCTTTTAATCGCCGTCCATGCGATAAGTACTCTGATGGTAGTGATCCTGCAAACTGGTGCATAAATATCAAAGAAGTCTATACCTTCTTTCTGAGAGAATCATTTTGCCACCAGTCTTGCTTTGTACTTTTCAATAGTACCATCAGGACGGAGCTTCTTCTTGAAGATCCATTTGCAACTGATAGGCCTTGCACCTTCAGGTACGTCCACCAGCTCCCAAGTGTGATTTTGGATCAATGAATCCATCTCATCATCTATAGCTTCTTTCCACAGAAGAACGTTTGTTGACTGCATTGCTTCTTGAAAAGTCTGTGGATCTCCTTCCACATTATAGGTGATGAAGTCATCTCCAAAATCTTTCTGTCTTCTGACGTGCTTGGAAGATGGTTCGATAACTCCTTCATCATTGACTGGCTCCTCTTGTGTACTAGCATTCTCTGCTACATCTTTGAGCAATAAGCCTTTATGTTTGATAAACTTATCCTCAAAGAATTCTGCATCCCGATCTTCAATGATGGAGTTGGTTCCAAGGTCCAGGAACCTGCACACATTGCTATCTCCAGCAAAGCCAAGAAATACACATTTGTTCGCCTTTGGTCTGAGCTTAGGCCTTCTGATATCTGGTATTCGAACGTATGCGAGACACCCCCACACTTTGAGATTATCCAAAGAATCTGGATATCCCAACCATAACTGATGAGGAGTACTATCAGTTTTGGAATAGGGTACTCTGTTCAGAATCCAATTTGCCATTAGCAAAGCATCTCCCCAATAGCAGGTAGGTAGACCAAATGTGATTAGCATCGAATTCACCATCTTGGTCAATGTGCGATTCTTCCCTTCTGCAATCCCATTAGATTGTGGAGAATACGGAGCAGTAGTTTCAGCAACGATTCCATGCTCCTTGAAGTATGCTTCTGATTCCTTAGATCGGTACTCTCCTCCTCTGTCGCTCCTGAGTCTTTTCACCTGAAGTCCAAGCTGCTTCTCCACTCGAGTCCGAAATTCGACAAACTTGCTGAAGGCTTCATCTTTAGATTTTAGCAGGTAAACGTGACAGAAGCGAGAATGGTCGTCGATGAAGGTGATGAAGTACTTCTTGCCACCACGAGTGACGAAGCTCTTGAAGTCACAAGTATCTGAATGAATCAGATCCAACAGGTTGGTGCTCCTCGTGATACTTGAAAATGGCTTCCTCGTCAGCTTTGCTTGCGCACAAACTTCACACTTCTCAGGTTTGTTACCCTCATATTTTGGAAGCAATCCTAACTTCTCCATGCTGGATAATTTTCTATAATTTACATGTCCCAGCCTATTGTGCCATAACACAGAGGAGTAAGCAGAAGTGTATACTTCATTTACAACAGGGTTGGGTGCACTCGTACTGATTTTATACATGCCATCAGTACGATATGCATTGCCAAAATATATTTTCTTAAAGGATAATACAACCTTTCCTCCTTGGAAATCCAGCCTCATGCCTGCATCACACAGCATGCTTCCAGAGACTAAGTTTTTGACAATTGAGGGAACGTGTTTTACATCCTTCAATGTGAGAGTCTTTCCTGAAGAAAGAGTAAGCACCACAGTCCCAGTTCCAAGAACAGGAACCACAGAATGATCAGCCATTGATACGTTCTCTTTAGTAACAACATAAGAAGAGAACATATCTCTATTGGAGCATACATGACAAGTAACACCCGTATCTAACCACCAACTAGAGATGTTGCTTGGAGTTGTTACCTGGAAGAGCATAGCCACACAATCATCAACTTGATTGACATTATGTGTTGTTTCCTTCTTTGGTGCTTTGCAGTCTTTGGCAAAATATCCTTGCTTCCCACAGTTGAAGCATTTGCCGCTCTTCTTGAACTCCTTCTTTTGAATGTTCAGGTTCTTCGGATTTTGGTTCTTCCTTCTATTAAAAGACTTCTTCTTCTTGAAAGATGAATAATTACCCTTTTCAGAGTTAGCCGCCACCATGTTAGCAGACGCCTTCTGCTTAGCAAGGAGCTCAGTCTTCGTGCGAGTCCGAGTCTAGTCCTCGATCCGAATGAACCTCTTCAAATCAGACAGAGTCACCTGTCTTTTCCTTCTTCGAATGTCAGTGGAGAATGACATCCAAGATGGAGGAAGCTTGTTGATAATTACACCAGAGACGAATGTTTGACAAAGATTAATCTTTTCATCCTTCAGCTTCATAACAAGCTTTTCAAGCTCTTTAACTTGAGGCAAGACCTCAGTGTCATCTTCAAACTTCAAGTCCAGAAACTTGTCAATAATGTGAGACTTGGAAAGCTTCTCCTCATCCTTGTACTGGTCCTCCAGAGCATTCCAGATTTCCTTTGCAGAGGGCTTGTTGGTGTAAGCATCTGCTAGATGATCAGCCAGGCAATTAAGGAGATAACTCCTGCAGAAGTGATCATCTTTAGCCCAAGAGGCTTCAGTTTCAGAGTCTTCTTCAGAGTCGGATTTTTCCTCAGAAACCACATAGTAGATTTTTAGGAGTTGCATCCCGAATATTACTTTTCGACGCCATACGTTAAAGTTGGAACCGTCAAAGTTCTCTTACTTAAGACAGTCCACTCCAAGAGTCCTCGCAGGATCCATGGTAGATCAAAATAATGCTTTAAGATTGTTAACGCATATGGTTAAAACTGGAATAATACAGATATATATCAGCTAATAACTGAAAGAAAGCTGAAGTACAGTAATTTATATTTTTTCAACTCAGCTGCTGTGCGTTTGTAAAACGCTGTGCTTAAAGCATTATTTGGCCTACTCTGGTGCAAGGATCCCAAGGCCAAATTGCTTCCAAGAACAGCAGTCCAGTACTCTGGTGTGCACCAACCTAGTACTGTCAAGATCTCCTCGATCTGTAAGGCAAAGATCTCCTCGATCTATCAGGCAAAAGATCTCCTCGATCTCCTCAGGTAAAGATCTCCTCGATCTATAAGACATTCTCGGTCTAGGCACTGTTCCTACTAGCACTAGCTATTCTACAATATATATCTGTATATATTGATTGTTGTTTTGGAATGAATTTTCCTTAAGGATTTGAGGTCTATTTATAGCGTTTGGAAAGATACTATGCACTAATAAAAAAATATTAGTTACTATTCATGTGGGACTCACGTCCTAAAAATTCTTCGGTGGGGCCCACCACCTTTTCCCATTTTCAAAAAAAGTGGCTTCTTTGTCAAAGAAGTTAGGCAGAGAATTTTTTTTTTAGGGCTGCTTAAAACACGAGGGCAGCTGTCACAACAAAACAAAAAAAAATCCAACAAGAGCATAGTCTCATTTACTGCTATCTTGTAAAACCTACAAAATAAGTTGTTTTTTTGTTAGTGAATAACATAGCATTCATACAGACATTATAATAAGTTGTTTTTTTTGTTAGTGAATAACATAGCATTCATACAGACATTGTAAAGTATGCTTGGTATCATGTACCCCAAAGAGCTTCCACAAACAACTTAGCAATAAAATATTTTTACACAGGCAAAAACGATTGACTGAGGATTAAACTTTCGACATAACCTACGGCCTCGGGGTCAATTTTGGATAAAATCAATATCTTTCTATCAAAAAAATCCAAATGGTTTAGCTCTTCCACTACTCTCGCCACCAAAATCCACAGCAATACTAAAACCCTAGAGGACACTTCAAGTCAAGAAATTGCATTCACTCTAAAACAAACAGAAATCCCCAAGAAAACTCGTTTGCAGCATATTACGCGTGAAAGAAATCAGCGAGAGGATCAAACAATTCCTCGAGTCTAACAATTTAGAAGTAAAATCACACGATCTTGCCCCTCTCCTCGAATTCGAAAAAGAGTCATAAGCTCGCGGGTAAAGGAGGTACCCGTCCTCGCTTTGAGCGCCGTGAGGGTATCTGGGGATGGGAGACGCCAAGCTGTAGTTCTAAATGGCGTTGCGATTCCGGACGCTGAGCTCGCAAGATCCTGCGATGAAGAAGCTGTGGGCTGAACGGCGAGGCTGGAGGATGAGGGAGGATGAGGAACGATGAGAGCAAAATTTAGGGATTTGAAGGGATGAAGACGACGACGATGAGATGAAGGATTTGAGGTGGACTCTTGGGAGTCTGAGATGAGATGAGGGATTTGAAGGATTGGGGGGAAATTTGGCGGGTTTAGAGTCGGAATTTTTGGGGGGTTTAGAGGCGCGGGGGTTTTAGGGCTGGTTTGGATTGAGGGAACGAGGGAAAGGGAGGATAAATTTTCAAAACCATCCGGTTTTGAAATTTATTTTCAAAAAAAAAAAGACTATTTTTAACTTTAATTACAAAAACAGACCCAGTGGGATGAAACTGGGTCTGTTTTTGAAAAAAAAATTCAAACTTCACGGGAGTTGAACTCCCGTGAAGTTTTTTCTCATAACAAAACTTCACGGGAGTTGAACTCCCGTGAAGTTTGAAATTTTTTTTTTCAAAAACAGACCCAGTTTCATCCAACTGGGTCTGTTTTTGTAATTAAAATTGAAATAGGTCGTTTTTTATAAATAATTTTTAAAAAGGGATGGTTTTAAAAATTTGTCCGGGAAAGGGAAGTTAGGGAAATTATTCATCTTGTTTGGAATATTTAGGAATCCTAGTTCCCTTAGTTCAGCCCTTAATAAAATAAAATTTCTTACCCCAAATTGAGGTGTAACTAAGGGCCCGTTTGGATAATGGAAGTATTTGAAGTAAGAGAGGCACTAGGGGCACACTCTCTATCACACTCTCAACCACACCACCTCTCTTGCTACAGTGCACGGGGCCCACATGAGATTTTAAAAAATAAAATCTCATGTGGGCCCCGTGCACTGTAGCAAGAGATGTGGTGTGGTTGGGAGTGTGGCAAAGGGTGTGCCCCTATCATTGTTTTTGAAGTAAGAAGTAGGTTATAGAAGTAACTTCCAAAACTATGAAGTAGGAAGTAACGGAAATAACGCTTTTTTTGTTTGTTTCATATATTTTTAGAAGTAACGGAAGTAAAACATCTGTTGGGGATTCGAAACAATCAATCGAACCCTTGCCCTTCCGGACCTTGTGTTGAAAGTAGGAAAGTAGGAATAAAACCACAAATAAAGATCTAACTTGCAAAAACAGTAAGGGAGATGAACACACAGATTTAACGAGGTTCGGCAACGTGTCTACATCATCGGGAGCCACACCACACAATCTCTTTATTAATTGAAGAAGAAAATACAAGCTCTCAAACAAGGGGTTAATCTCTCTGAGATTCTCTTTCTCTTTGCAGTAAAAAAAACTCTCTTTTTGATGTCTACCAAACCCTAAAAACGTTTGGGGTATATATAGAATCCTGAAACAAAACAGAGTCCCAAACAGTTTAGGAAACTGTCTGGACGATTCGCGGTCGACCGTCGTGCCAAGGCCGGTCGACCGGCCAGAGAAAAAGGTGTTTACAGGGTCCTATGCACATTTGCGGTCGACCGCAGCGGCCACGCCGGTCGACCGACCAGAGCGAAAACTTCTTCTCAGTCTCCTGCAGTGCACGCGGTCGACCGGCTCTGCCACTGCGGTCGACCGCACAGTCTTCTGACCGTTTTCTTCGTCTTTTTTATTGCAGCTTCGGGTCTACACACTTAGACTAACAATCTCCCACTTGGAGACCAAAGCGCCATCAACGAGCTCACCCGAACTCTCCCCTTCTTCGCATGCATCTTTTCCCCCGAAAAAATTCTTCCTTCAATCAACAAAATCCCGGCGATCTCGCCGATCCTCGTAGTGTGGCTCCGCCTTCGTCTTCTACTCGTGAAGGCCAACTGAAGTTGTGCACAACTCCAGTTTCTCAATGGTGACTACCTTCGTCAACATGTCTGCCGGATTTTGACTCCCCAAAATCTTCATTAAATGCAGCTTTCCGTCCTCGATCAGCGAGCGTATAAAATGGTATTTGACGTCGATGTGCTTCGTTCTGGCATGATATACTGGATTCTTGGCAAGATGTATAGCGCTCTGGCTATCACAATAAAGAACTCCTCTCCCTTGCTTCAGATCCAACTCTTCCAAACACCCGTTCAACCAGATCATCTCCTTGCTTGCTTCAGTCACCACGACATACTCAGCCTCGGTTGTAGACAAAGTCACAATCTTCTGCAGACGTGAGACCCAGCTCACTGCTGTCGACTCTAAGGTATAAACATACCCCGTGGTCCTTCGCCTCGTATCATGATCACCGGCGAAGTCTGCATCCACGTATCCCTGCAGCACCAACTCCTTCCTCCTGAAACATAGTGGCTTGTTCGTTGTTTCCCTCAAGTACCGCATTATCCACTTCACGGCCTCCCAATGCTGCTTTCCTAGATTGCTTGCAAATCTGCTCACAACTCCCACTGTATGTGCGATGTCCGGCCTCGTGCAAACCATCGCGTACATGAGACTCCCAATGGCTAAAGAATATGGCACGCTGCTTATATGATCTCTATCTGCATCTGTCTTAGGCGATTGCTCCTCAGATAACTTGAACTGACTTCCAAGGGGTGTGCTAACAACTTTAGCATTCTGCATGTTGAACTTCTGAAGTACCTTCTCAATGTATTCAGCTTGGCTCAATCTCAATGTCCCTTCAGCTTCATCCTTACTGATTCGCATCCCTAGAATCTGCTTCGCTGCACCCAGATCCTTCATTGCAAATTCCTTTGCTAGCTGCCTCTTCAAACTGTTTATCTCTTCTAAACACGGTCCTGCTACCAACATGTCATCAACATATAATAACAAAATAATGAAGCTGGACTCGAACCTTTTGAAATAACAGCAATGATCCGAATTGCATCTTCTGTAGCCATTGTTCTGCATGAAGTTATCAAACTTCTTATACCACTGTCTCGGAGCCTGTTTCAAACCATATAAGCTCTTCTTGAGCTTGCACACCATCTCTTCCTTTCCTTCTTCAATGAAGCCAACAGGCTGCTTCATGTAGATTTCTTCATCCAAGTCACCATGAAGAAAGGCAGTCTTCACATCTAACTGCTCAAGGAAGAGGTCTTCTGCAGCTACCAAACTCAACACCACTCTGATGGTTGTGAGTTTCACAACAGGGGAAAATATCTCCGTGTAGTCCACTCCTTCCCGCTGTTGAAACCCTTTCACTACTAATCTGGCCTTGAATCTCTTGCTTCCATCACTCTCCTGCTTGACCCGGTAGACCCATTTATTGTGCAAGGCTTTCTTCTGCGCAGGTAGCTGGGCTAACTCCCATGTCTCATTAGTGAGTAGAGAATCCATCTCCTCCTGCATCGCATGCTCCCACTGCTGAGATTCAGTCACTTGCACTGCCTCTTCATAACACTCTAGCTCTCCGCTATCTGTTAAGAGTAGATAATCAAGTGACAAGATGTATTTGGGATTTGGTTTGGGTACCCTAGATGACCTCCTAGGCTCCACGCCCTGGGTAGTAGTTTCTGCACCTGTAGTCTCCTTCGTTCTACGGTCAGAACTGACATCGTCGCCCCCATCTGGAAGTTCCTCCAAATCCATGTACTCGGATCCACCTGTATCCGTAGTGCTGCTCCCACTGCTTTGGCTATCCTTGGCATTGTCCCTGTCCTTGTACATCACCTCCTCATTGAATATCACATCCCGGCTCCTGATGATCTTCCTGTTCTTCTCATCCCAAAGGCGATACCCGAACTCATCAATGCCGTATCCAATGAATGTGCACTTCTGTGACTTAGCTTCTAGCTTGTCCCTGACATGGTCACTGATATGAACATAGGCCACGCAACCAAATACCCGCAAGTGTGAGAGATTTATCTTCTTTCCACTCCAAACCTCCTATGGAATCCCAAAATCTAATGGAACTGATGGCCCGTGATTAATAAGGTATGCTGCCGTATGTACCGCATTCGCCCAAAATATCTTAGGCAAACCTACATGTAATCGCATGCTCCGCGCACGCTCTGTCAAGGTCCTGTTCATCCTCTCTGCAATGTCGTTCTGCTGCGGCGTCCTTGGAGTAGTCCTCTCTAAGCGAATCCCATTCGTAGCACAGAACCTCTTGAACTCCTCCAGCTCGTATTCTCCACCATTATCTGATCTCAAGCACTTCACCTTTAGATCTGTCTCGTTCTCGACCATGGCCTTCCACTTCTTGAAGATCTCGAACACCTCTGACTTGTGCTTCATGAAGTAAACCCACACCTTCCTCGAGTGATCGTCGATAAAGGTGACGTAGTATCTCGAACCGCCAAAAGAAGACACACTGGCTGGGCCCCATACATCTGTATGAATCAACTCTAGCTTCTGAGCCTTAGGTGGCCTTCCACCCTTCTGGAAACTAACCCTCTTCTGCTTCCCAAAGATGCAGTCTTCACAAACCCCGACTTCCACGGTGTCGATCCCGGTTAGCTTTCCTTGTGAATGTAGAATTTTCATCCCTTTCTCGCTCATGTGCCCCAACCTATTGTGCCACAGATCTGTACTCTCCTTGCCAGCTGCAATTGCGAGGGTATCACTCGCATGTGAAGTGAGGTAGAGAGTTCCCGTTTTATTGCCTCGGGCAACAACCATCGTACCGTTGGAGATTCTCCACGAATCCCCGGTGAATGTCGAAACGTAGCCTTCTGCTCCAAGCTGTCCCACCGAAACAAGATTCCTCTTCAAATTCGGCACATGTCTCACATTTTTCAGATTCCACTTAGAGCCCTTCATCTGTATCTGAACGTCACCCTTTCCAACAATATTGCAAGGTTCATTGTCCCCCAAGTATACTTTACCAAAGTCCCCTGCTGCATAGTTTTGAAGTAGTTTCCTATTAGCAGTGGCGTGGAAAGAAGCTCCTGAGTCGATGACCCAAGAATCAGAATCGCTATCCATAGCAAGGATCAAGGCATCCTGCACGATATTAGCCTCCTGCTCACCCGCATCCTTCTTTGGTGCTTTACAGACCGAAGACATATGGCCCTCCTGGCCGCAGTTCCAACACTTCCCTTTGATAGACCTAACCTTCGAGTTCGGCCTCTTCTTCACTGATTTCGACCGATTCCTGTTCTGGTTCCCTTTCTTCTGGCTTCTGCCTCTCTGCTCGAAACTTAGGGCTGAACCTGAACCTTCTGATTCGGACGATTTCCTTCTAACCTCCTCGGATAGAATCATGCTAACAACCTCATTCATCTTCAACTTCTCTTTCCCCGACGAACCTATTGAGCAAATGACAATAATATTAATGG